TTTACCTCTCTGTGCCTTCACTCTTGAGCTCTCTCAAAAGCTGGGGCTCACAGACAGCTCAAAGCAGTTAGAATCTGAGACTTACACAATCATCTTAATAAAGGCAGAGGGAGCCCTCGGGAGACTAGATGGGTGCTATGATAGTTTTGTTATGCCTGTTTCAGCGATAGCTTATCTTGGTGGATTATTCCCTTAACAGTCTCATGACAAAAGTCAATCTGCCCTGGTTGGGAAACTCCAATGCCCCCAGGGAGTAGATTGATGACATCAAAATTCTTTTGGGAGGCTCTGCTTTGAGGAGGGTTAGGAGGAAGTTTTTTATTGATTGACTTGCAAATGTCCTCAGTTCAAATAATCCTTCTGCCACCGTGGCACATTTTGTACTTTCCATCACTCAGGCAAAGAGGAGGGTAGGAAAGAAGGGATGCCTGTCAGTTTCCCAGCCACTGTCCAGTGCCTCCTACCTGGAAGAAGTTCAGCACTCTGCTGACTTCTGCTCCTTAGCGTCATTCTATCTCTTCCAAACTGAGGCAATATGGTTGCTTCAGGCTACCACAGGAGAACTCATCCTAGGATCTGAGCTGGGTGGGGGCACTACTGGATTATGAAACCCATGATTAAAGATCTAGTCAGGCCATTCCTCCGCCATTTTCTAAGTCTTCATAACAGAGCTACGGTCCCTCGGAATGAGGAACTTAGGTGATGCTGTACCTCTGTAGTGTTGTGCAAGCCAGTAGTACACCCAACATATGTGACTCTCATGAGTCATTATTTAAACATCTCTCCTCTACATAGTTACACAGAAAAGATCACGAAACTAAGTAAATAGGTTTCATAATTGCTGTGGCCTGGATGTGGGCGTGTCCTCACAGGTCCATATGTTGAAACCTAATTCCCAAAGTGATAATATTAAGAGATAGTGTGAGAAACTCTTTTTGTCTATCAAAGGTGGCTAATATTCCATAAATCCCCCTCACCTTTTACATTTTTATGCAAATATTTTAATCTCCCCCACTAAGATTTTTATTTACTTTAAGGTTCTGTTGCATTTCAGAAACTTGATGAGCCAGGGTAGCCAACCTCTTCGTTCTTCCTTTTATTTCCTCCCCTCCAATTTCCAAATCGCTAATCAGTACACCATGGAAGTTGAACTTTATTCATTCAGTGACAAACAGCTAAGCTCCTCTTGTATTAGAGGTAAAAGATAAAGGCCATTGTGACCATGCATACTGCTTGCCAGCACAAGTGGGCTGTGGTACACCCTTTTTACAAAAAGAAAGTGCCTTGCCAGATTACATTTGTTCTGTTTGGGTGCTTTTTGTGCAGCACCGAGACTATTCTCTCCCAATAACAGGCATTTGAGAAGTGATTAAGCCATGACAGCTCTGCTCTTGTGAATATAATTAGTGCTCTTTGTCAGCTCTCAAAGAAACTTGAAACAAGATTCACTCTGTCCCTGTGGCTCCTCCCAGCACTCCTTGCCCCTCCTCCTCCCCTAAACCTCTCCTTCCCAGGGCTGAGCTTTTCTTCCTTCCCCCAGCCTGATCCCTAGATAAGGCAGCCATTTTGACTAAGAGGCAGCTCCTCTCTTGCTCTCCCCCCCCCCCCCAACTCTCATGGTCCTGTTTAGTCAGCCAGCCGTGTTCAGCCTGGACTCTTCCCTCTGCCTGACTTCTCCCTTATGGCTACAATAGAAATCTTGTCCTTGCTTTAGGAGTAGTCATGTCCTCCTCCTCCTTTCATTTCATTTTTCCATCCACTTTTTTTTTTATAATAAAAGGGTTTTGGAAAGCTATGTGAGCAAAAATTTCTGTTGCTTGTATGTAGGAGGAGGAGCTGCTTGTTTGGTTCCTGGCCACCCAGCTACCTAGCTACCTTAGACTCGAAATAATCACACAGAAACTGTATTATTTAAATCACTTCTTGGCCCATTAGCTCTAACTTCTTATTGGCTAACTCTTACATCTTAGTTTAACCCATCTCCATTATGACCTCGTGTATCACCACGAGGTCGTGGCCTACCAGCAAAATTCCAGCACATCTATCTCTGGCAGCGGATCCATGGCATCTCCTGACTTCGCCCTTCTTTTCTCCCAGAATTCAGTCCAGTCCTCCCCACCTACCTAAGTTCTGCCCTATCAACAGGCCAAGGCAGTTTCTTTATTCATTAATGGTACTCACAGCACACAGAGGGGACTCCCACATCATTTGTAAATTACCAAGTCTATAGTAACTTAATTGCAGCAACAGAAACAGACAAAGACAACAATGAGGGGCTGGAGAGATGACCCAGTGGTTAAGAGCATTGACTGCTCTTCCAGAGGACCAGGGTTCAATTCCCAGCACCCACAAGGCAGCTCACAACTGTCTGTAACTTCAGTTCCAGAGAACCCAACACCCTCACACATATATGCAGGCAAAACATCAATGAACATAAAACAAAAAATATTTTAAAAGACAGTAATGAGCTAAAACTTACATTTATCTATTTATTATGTTGTTTTTTTGAGACAAGATCTTACTGTTATGACCTGCTACTGACTTGTCCTGTCCCTTTAAGAGACAAGTCCTGGCCTCTCACCTCTTCCACGAAGGCAAGCAGATCTTCCTTCCCTCTCTCTCTTTCCCTGTCTCTCTTTGAGAGAGGTGAGTGCAACCTCCTCCCCCACTCTGTTTCTCTCTTGCGTGCTCTCTCTCTCTCTCTCTCTCTCTCTCTCTCTCTCTCCCTCCCTCTCTTCCCTTCCCTTCCATAACCCACTGAATAAACTATACCCAAACCCTCTCTCTGCATGGTGTGCCTATCCGTTTTCCACCCGCCGTGGCTCCTCATGGGACTGGCTGCCCTGCTACCCAACCAAGGTCTCTCACCTGCCTAGGACCCACAGAGGCCTCAGATGGTAGGATCAGGCTGCCCCTCATGGCCCGCTGCTGCCCCTCGGGGAACAGTACTCTTTTATCTAAACCATTACACTTACTAAATAGCTTCAGACTCACTATGTGGCCCTAACTAGCCTGGAACTTAAAAAAAAAAAAGATTTGTTTTTATTCTTTGTGTATGTGTGCTTTGCCTTCATGTATGTATATACACCTCATATGCAGGCCTAGTGCCTACAAAGTTAGAAGAAGAGTGTTGGGTTCCTCCTGGAACTGAAGTTATAAACAGCTATGAGCTACCACGTGGGTACTAGCAACCAAGCCCAAGATCTTTGCAAGAACAGCCAGTGCTTTTAACCACTGCGCCATCTGTTGTTTTAGCTTCAGTTCAGTGGCTGCACCTTAATCTACTGCTATTTCTAGCCTGCTTCTCTAACAATGGCAGGAACTCTGTTCCAGCAGGCACTGGCCCTGTTGCTGCTACTAAAGGTAACTTTAACAAAATCTCTATTGTTTTATTTATAAATAAGATTGGAGAGTCAAAGGCTGGGGTGAAAACCTACTATCTCAAAGAGGCAGAGTTGGAACTAGCTAATCCTCTCTCCTTGCTAGTGTCTCCAAAAAGGACCATCCTCCTATTCCACCAAAGTATATATAAAAGAAAAACACTTCAAATCCCTGCCGACTACTTCCAGTGTGTCTCTCTATCTCTCTCGGATGCCCTCTGATGCTCTATGATTACTTTCCGTCAAATAGTTGCTAACTCTGCCTCATGACCCCAAAGTTAATTTTATTCAATTAATGCAAATGCAAACTTGGGGTTCACAATGTGATCTTGCAACAGTTGTTGGGTGTTTTTTGTTTGTCTGTGTCAGTGACAAAATATGTGAGCAAAACAACTTAATCTAGAAGTGCAATTTTGGCTCACAGTTTGAAGGGTTTCCGATCAGAAGGTGGGGCAGGGTGTGGTGAGGAGAAGGACTTAGTCCCGTGCTTGTCAGGAAGCACAAAAAGAACGCCTGTGCTCTGCAGTCTCCATTTCTCTCTCTGATCCTGCCTGGCCTTCTCCCTGTGGTGTCTTCCTGAGTTAATCACCATGTCTGGAGAACCTGTCACTGACACATGCTGAGGTGTTTCCCTAACATCTGGACTGTGTCTCAGTGCAATTAAGTTGATGATCAAGATGAACCTTGACACATGCTAGTCTGTGCTCTTCCACCCTGCTATGCCTGCAACCTCAATTTTTCCTCAAGATTTAACACAAATAAAACCCTGTTAACACAGAAAGTAAGAGATTAAAGCAGTTAAAATATGTTTCTTTTTTGCTCTCTGTGTGTCTTATTGTGCGTTTTCTGGTTTCTTTTTTCTTTTTTTTTCTTTTTTTTTTGGTTTTCTGAGACAGGGTTTCCCTGTGTAACAGTCCTAGCTATTCTGGAACTAGCTCTTGTAGACAAGGCTGACCTGGAATACACAGAGATCCACCTGCCTCTGCCTCCTGAGTGGTGGGATTAAAGGTGTGCACCACCAACATCACCACCACCACTGCCTGGCTTTCTTTTGTTTCTATTTGTGATTTTTTTTTAAAGGTTATATTCCTTTGCATCTGCCCTCACTGTGCTGTTGTTCTTTATTTAGAATTCTTTGTTTAAGTCCAGGAATCCAAGCCAGGCATGGTTATATACACCCTTGATCTTGATGACATTTGGGAGGTAGAGGCAGAATGAGAATCACAAAATCATTTGCACATATATACTACAGTATATTGTTCCTGGGCTACAATAGGACTTATCTAAAAAAAAAAAAAAAAAAAAAAGGAGGGGGTGGATATCATGAAGGAGAAACCATTAGGAATTACCAATGACAAGTATGTGCTTGCAGCTCAGGCTACAGGTGTACAACAGGAAATTGCAAATTACTTTCTTTCATGTAAAGAAAAAAACTAAATTACTCTCATGTAAAGTGCTATATCTGTCATAAAATAGGCAATAGAGATGCCAATATGAAGCTCATTTCTATATTATTAGCATTTCACAGTAATTACCTAGCAGTTGTTTCAACTTTTTCAGAGAAGAGCATTTTACCACTAACATTGTGCGGAGCTGTGGGTAAGGACCAAAGGCAGGAAGGTGCTGTCGTACTTTATTAGAATAAAATCTGTCACCCTTGGACCTGAGGCTGAGTACCACAGAGCTGAAGATTGCTTCCTCCTTTCTCTGGCCTCCCTAGACCTCAGTCCACATGAGAAATCGTATTTGATTTGGATGGGAAAGCCGAGGTGTGAAAGGGAAGGGCGGTCTTTTGAGGATGACTGTGCAGACGGGCCTCCTCTGGACCCACTGGACCTGTGGGGGCAGGGACAGGCTGAGCCTGAGCAAGGTTTATTTGCAGCTCATTTGAATAGGCCTCAGATGCTTCACACTAAGTGTGGACAGACCCATGGGATCCCAGAACTCAGGAAGATCCCTCCAAGCACCCTACCCCCACCCCACGCAGGGTCACCAACTCCAGTGGGCTCTCAGTGCCTTGTCGGTGGAACAACCTGGCCTTCCTTAGCCCTGCTGTAAAACAGAGCTCCCTGAAAGGGGAGGTTCTCCGTTTTGAACTCTGTTTTTTACCCGACTCGAATCTAGAGCCTGAGAAAGGCCGGTCCTCATCTACCTGGGTCCAAAAGGTCAAAGGAAGATGCAGCTCTACCTTGAAGAGCCTGGGAGAAATGCAGGATGCTCCAGATGGATGGTATGAGGCCTTCTTAGCCGGTCATTTCTGCCTTCACCTGACTGGAAAAACAAGTCAATTGATGTAGGACAGAAACGAGGCTGACTGACAAGACAGGGGAGAGGCCTGCTCCTGAAGGGAAGGGTGGTAAAGAATGCCACCTGCCCCAGGCCTTTTAGTCAGGCAAGGTTAGGAAGAGACACCCTTCCCATTTACTCTCTGTACACCTAAGGTTTTCTGGAAGCATCCATAGCCCTAACAGACTGCTCTGTCTTGTATTAGTCCAGTGGCAAGGAACTCATCAGTGCCTCATGAAGCTTGTTCTAGAAGGAAGTCCTTGAGCCGGAACCTGCCTCCCTGGAACTCATCTTGTGAGTTGGCAGCACCCTAAGAAGCTCTCACAGCTGTGGGACCAATGGCATAATGTCTTCCCGACCAGTTCCAGATTACTATCAAATCCCTCCATCCTCTCTTGGCCACTATCTCTTAGACCTGTATCCAAAGCCTGCTCTATTAATCATTTTGTAGTCTCTAAGGGGCACTGCCATGGGAGGGATGCAAGGCGAGGCTAGAAGGCCTGCCTATCAGAGTTCTCCTATGCCTTAGATGGAAGCTGGGTCTTGCTCCCGTGAAGCAGATACCAGTGGGGCAAGGACATACCCCAGTCCTAGGGGAAATAGAAGAGACAGGGAGGCAGGGAAAATGGGATCACTGCTCACCCTGGGCAGTGAGATAATGTCAGCCAGCTATGCGGTCTTTTTGTTTGATTGGTTTTAGTTTTGCTTTCCCAAAAGGAAATAAAGAAAGTAAGAGTCTGTAAAAACAGCGCCCTTGTCTGCTCTTGCAGTGAGCCTAGGCCTCCTGGACACTAAGACTAGAACGGAAGCCTCAAACAGGAGTTCAGAAGCCCCCACCGTTCCCACCAGCACACACAGTGTCATGAAAGGGGAAGATCTTGGCTCGCCAGCCCGGGGCTCACTCCAGTCCCCCCCACGTGTACCTAGGGACTTCCCCAGGCTCCCCAGTTACGAAAACTGGCCAGAGCAGGGCCTTTCTCCATTTCTCCAACAATATACCCTGAGGTAGTAAATCTTCTAACACTACTTCTCCCAAGGAGGCCTGGCCATTTGGGGTGAGGCGCCAGGGCTATTAGGCGGCAGGCATCGTAAATCACCGAGTCGAGTGCCTCGTCTGCTAGAGAGCGGGGAATTTTGCTTATTACTTTTTTTTCTTTTCTTTCTTTGCTTCTTCCTCTTCCTCCTCTTCCTTCTCTTCTTTTTGCCCCGTCTGTATAGATAACACTTCCTTGAGGCACACATTGGCCCAGGAGCAGGGGGAAGGTGGCGATCTTGTCATGTTGCCCATTTGAACAGCAGTTGGACTCACTCACCAGCTTCAGTACCGTTTCTGCTTCTCCGTCTCCTCCCAGCTACATTCTCAGAGTGGCTTCTATAACTTCTTCCCACTAGTCACTTCCCTGAGAGGCAAACAGATGCAAGCTAAGGGACCCGCCCTGCTGACCTCACACCCTACATAGACTGCACAGGCAGATAAGCTGGAGATTCCTCTCAGTGACACCGTGACCCTACATGATTCAGCTGCTTGTTGTAAACTCACCAATCAGAGCTCAGGAAAACCTGATCGGGTAACACTTTGGGCCCTCGAAAGGCTTTGCTCACCTGTCCATCTCCCCACTGTCTCTTTAGCACCGTGCTATCTTTGAATGTGCTGTTTAGTGTTTAGTCAACTTGGCTGAGCTACAGTCCTCTGGAAAAAGGGAGTCTCAACAGAGAAAATGCCTCTACCAGACTGGCCTGGTAGGCAAGCCCATGGGGGCATTTCCTTGATTAATGATTGATGTGGGAGGACCCAGCCCAATGTGGGCGGTACCACCCCTGGGCATGTGGTCTTGGGTTGTATTAAAAAAAAAAATAAGCTGAGAGACTGGAGAAATGGCTCAATGATTAAAATAATGGCTACTCTTCCAGAGGCCCAAGGTTCCCAGTACCCACATGGTGGCTGATTATTATCTGAGAACTCCATTTTCAGGAGATTCAATGTGGTACAGAGACAAAACACATCCATACATATAAAATAATAGAGAGTAAATCAAGCCATGTGCGCCATGGAGAGCAAACCAGTAAGCAGCATTTCTCCATGGTCTGCTTCAGCTGGGCTCCTGTCTTGCTTGAGATCCTACCTTGGCGTTCCTTAAAGATGGACTGTCACTGGGGTGCGTAAGACAGACAGATCCTACCCTTTGAAAGTCTTTACCACAGCAATGAGAAGTAAACTTTTGCACCCTTAAGGTATCCCTCTTCCCTCCCGGAGCTATAAGAATAAAATGCTTTGCCCAGCAGTCTCTGCCATGATCCACCACCAGGAATTCCACCCTCTTGCACTGGGGATTTCCTGGAGAGAGGATAAAAGCTGAGCTCAGACTCCAAGACAAAACTAGAAAAAAATAAATTGCTAGGAGGCTCAGTATGAACTTTGAGATCAGGAAGTGAAGGGGCTCTGACAGGCGTGAGCATGGCAAACGTGGCTCTGGTAGGCCTTACTCTTCTCCCCCATCCCCTCTGCCTTGCTAAAACCCATTGGATTACATTCTTAAAGCCAGCCAGCAGGGACTCTTCCCTTATTTGGCTACTTTCTCTTGTGGCTGACTACCAAGCTTCAACTATCTAAGTATTGAAGTTCAGCAATCAAAATCCTCCTTTGGCTGTCCTAATTAACATGCCCAATAAAAATTAAGCACGTCATCCTAACACGGGGTTTCTCCTTTTACCTTTCTAAACCACCATTTGCCTGTGGGCCTTGTCTGTCTTCTCTCTATCCAGAGGCAATCCTTTGTCCCTCTGGGACAGATACCTCTGCTTCCTTTCCTTGTTCTGTTCCCCTTCTCCCTAGTCCTCTGTCTCCTCTCTTTGTCTCTTATTCCCCGCCCTTCGTCCCTCTGGGGCAAATAAATCTCCTCTGTGCTGAAAGCTTGGTTTTGGGTGTCTTGGGCCAATATAGGTCCTTTCAGGAAAGATGTTCAAGAAGTTGGGCATGGTAAAACCACTGCTCTTGAAACGGGACAAGCAGAGATGACTCAGGACCCAGGATGGCCAGACAGGGACAGGGTTGTCAGAGTGTCTTACCAAGAGCTGAGACTTGGGCAAAGAGCGGTGGGAGACACCGCTGCTGCGAGATATTTGATCATATTTGATCGCACTGGAACTCTGAGACTGTGTTAATAAAATTGAACTTGAATCAAGGGATGGAGCCAGCAACTAGCTGACAGGAATAAGGAGGAGCCAGGGATATTGATAGAGAGATGCACAGGAAGGAGTAGGGAGGGACTTAGAGATTCATGACCCCTTTGGCTTGAGACAGAAGGAGAGAGGCTTTCTTGCTGGGTCTCCACTCAAAAAGGAAGGTTAGCTGGTTGCCTCTCTTCCCTGATCAAGCAGGTTTTCATCCTAATATCTGACTCATGAGTCTTTACTGGTAAATAGAACAACTTAGATAAAAACAGCATACTGTAGGGTAAAAGGCCACTTTTGGGTTAAAAAACCCACTAAACTCAGCACTTGAAATCCTACCAATCCCCACCCTGGAAAACTCCACGCCCAAGAAACCCTCTATAAACCTGTCTCTCACTCAGTTCCCTGCCACTACGCCTCTGAACAGAGGCAGCCGCCTCTTGTATCTTTCCCAATAAATCTCTTGTGTGAGGTTTGTTGTGTGCTGTGACTCTGTGGTATTCCTTAGCTGGCAGGATACCTTTGCCCTCAAAGCTGTAACACTACAGATACCCATACCACACAACACCCTCTCTGTCCCTTTGTCTCTCTGGGACCTGGTATTGTGGGAAACGTTGGCCACTCTCACCACCAAGTCCTGTCTGATAACCTGAATTTAAACCCGGACTCAGGCCTGGCATTTCCCACTCAAACCTTACTTGTTTTCTGTTTTTCTCAAGCTCACAGAAATCTACCTGTTATTCTTTTTGGATATGGCGTGGAGGGGATAGGGGCAGAAGGCCAGTGGCAGCAGTCCCACAAGGGGCAGCCGGTCCTACGAGGGGCCATGGCAGGTGACCCAGCGAGTCCCCAGAGGCCTTGGTGGGTTCCCTTGGCAGGTGGGAGACCAAGGCAGGTGAGAGACAGGCAGATACGCTATGCAGAGAGAGTTTAGGTATAGAGTTTATTTAGTGGGTTATGGAAGGGAAGGAGAAGGGAGGAGAGAGAGAGAGAGAGAGAGAGAGAGAGAGAGAGAGAGAGAGAGAGAGAGAAGGGGGAGGAGGGAGAGAGAGAGACAGAAAGAGAGAGAACATACAGGCTGGAGGAGAAGAAGATCCACTTGCCTTGGCAGAAGGGGGAGTGGGTGGGGTTTGTTTTTTAAGGGGACAGGGAACCCAGTTGACAAGACAGATCATAACACTACCCACTGTCTGCCTGCCTAGGATCAAAGGTGTGCACCACCATGCCTAGCTTTTGCTTTTCCTGTTTTGGTTTGGAAGTGTTTTAGTTTTTGTTGTTGTTTTGGTTTTGTTTTGTTTTCTTCTTTGCGGGGGTGGGGTGGGGGGAGTGTTATTTGGTATGTTGTTTTGGGGGGAGGTGTTATTTGGGATTGTTCTTGTTTTTGGGAGGTGTTATTTGATATTCAAGCCTCTCTTAAAGGGACCAGGGAATCTCCAGGATAAGCTGCTCAGGGTCAAGTTATACTCAGGATTCTGAGTCCCTTATCAGTTTTTAATCCCAAACGTGGCCTTGTGTACTGGGTGCTGCCAGGGGGCAAACCATTCGGGATTCCTTCAATACAAGGTTCAGGAAAGGAAAGAAATTTAAAAGTTGCAGGAAATTCCAGAAATAAGACCCACAAGGTCTTTCCCTAAACTTACATAAACAAAAATAGCCAAAGGATGAAGCTGTCCTAACTCAGGAAGCCAGTTCCTGTGATGTCACTTGTGAGTCACCCATGCTGGGGTGGACTTTTTGACACTGTAACTGCCTCTGAATCATCCATATTCCTTTAGGTAACCCCTCACTCACACTCCCGTAAGAAAGATCAGCAGACTAAACTTCATACCAACATGGTTTTTAGTGCACACCAACATGGGTTTCAGGTTCTAGGATGAGGCAATGATGATTCTTGTAAACGGAGACTGCTTGTTTGTTTCCCAGCCTCCCAGTCCGAACAATCACACCCAAACTATATTAATTACAACACTGTTTGGCTAATAGCTTAGGTGTATTCCTAGCTAGCTCTTACATCTTAAATTAACCCATTTATATTAATCTGTGTATCATCATGAGTCTGTGGCCTACCCGTAAGGTTCTGGCATCTTTCTTCTTGGCAGCTATATGGCATCATTCTGACTCCACCTTTTTTTCTTCCTGCCTTCAGTTTAGTTTTCCCACCTATCTATCTTCTGCCCTGCCACAGGCCAAAGCAGCTTCTTTATTAACAAATGGCAATAAAACATATTCATAGCAGGTAGAGGGGCATCCCACATCATCTTCCCTTTTCTGTCTAAATAAAAAGAAAGGTTTTAACTTTAACATAGTAAAATTACATATAACAAAACAGGTAACAAGCAAGAATTACAGTTGCAATATTTCTTTTTGAGTCTAAAGTTTCATATCTAATTTGTCTTTTATCATAACTAAGGAAAACTATAACTATCTGTCATCAATTCCATCAAAGACCTCAGAAGGATATAATATTACCTAAGTAAACAGGAAGTGCTTTGTAAGCAACTTCCAAAACTCTAGAATTGACAGAGACATCTCTTTTTCCTAGACAGTCATTCAAAGTTCTTCTGTATTGTTGGCATCCATCTTCAGCCTACAAACCTATAATATCTGTCAGACTTTTCCATGAAGCAGGAAATTTGAAAGACTGTTTTGCCTATTTTGGCAGTTTATCAGTCACTTTTTCTGTGTTCTGCAGAATGTCTGGCAGACTCTTTCATGAAGCAGGAACCTGAAGGACCATCTCACCTTCTTTAGACAAGTTCAGCAGTCATTTTTCTGTGGGTCCTGCATGTCCAATTTATAAACATGCCATAAAGCAGTCCAGGAAAGAGCAATTTCTTGCCCAAATTGCTGGCCTTGTCACAATAATGGAAAATTCCACAACAAATTTCTTCAATGCCCACCAATCTTTCTGAAGTAATTGGTACTGCCAGAAGCAGACATGTCTCACTGCTGAGAAAAGTCTGAGTCCTTAAAACATTTTAAATGCCATATTCTGTAGGTCTTTGATGATTTGATGATTATCTAACTGAAATATATCTCTGTATATCTAGAAAACCTAACTAATGTACTTAAAAGTTTTATTATTACAGTGACTATTAATCTGTATTTCTTAACTATACATTACTTTTTTAAATGGGCTGCACAAACACAATACCTTAAACAAGAGCAGAAATACATGTGCACAGTGTGACAAGATCGACCTTAAATTTGTATCAATAGACCAAGATCTA